ATAATAGTTACATAATATAACTTAAAATTATAATTGAATAAATATACATATACATATATATTTATGTGTGTATATATATAATAATAATAAAACATAATTATTATTATTTGACATTGACATTGACATTTGAGAACTTATATTAATTACAATTCCCGATGCATTCAACACCCCTTATTATGGGGTGCCATTAGCACTCCCCATTTGCTAACCCAATATATGGTGTTAATTTTGTGAATCAGTCATAGCCTTTAATATTTGTAATCTATGAATAAAATTCATCATGACATTTTAGTAATAAATTAAAAAATGATGCTTAATAAACATAGGTGAACAATCATGAACAAAGGGTAATTTTGAAAAAAAAAAACTAGAAAGATTTCTTTTAGCATTAATTACTTTTTCAGTAATTACTCCATCATTTTGAAATCTACATCAAGTTTTAATTATTCTTTCATTTATTAATATGTAATATGTAACTTATGAATGATAAGAACGAACAGTTTTCATATATGAATAACTTATGAACATTGTGCACCAACGAGAATATAGCATATATGAAAATGTTCATTGGTAAAAACATACATGAATGTGTACGTATGCGTGACTGGTGAACATTCTAAGTTGTCACTGTAAACATTTTTTATTATTGAACATTGAGTGCATGTTCATGCATGTTGATTGCTACTATGTTCATGTTGATCATCCATATTATACAATATACTACACAGATAAGAATGTTGATTATTGATTATTTCTCAAATTACATTTGTTTAAGAATAATCACAAACAACAGAACTTACAACACATTTATAATTTCAAAATGACTAAATTCAAAGAGTAATATAACTCTCATCTAAATGTATTAAAGTAATAAAAAAAAACATAATCTTACTATTTTGCCTCCAATCATTAATTACATAGGAATCTATGAACTATGAAACTAGATTGATTCTTATTGGTCTAAAGAGTTTGTAAGTTAACACAAATAAATTGGTTAACAAAAGATTACATCTCTCTCTCTCTCTCTCTCTCTCTATATATATATATATATATATATATAGTATATTTCAAATACAACCATGTCCATTTGTACAACCAATGCAACTTAATTAATTGAGATATTTATAATAATGATGAGAGTTTATTTGTTATGATTTGAATATTTATGGAAGATGAATATGGTTCATTAATTATGATTAATATTTTATATTAGGAAACAACCAAAATTTCTATTAAATCACATATTCATCAAATTAAATAGACGGTTAAAAATAGGTTGTATTGGTTATACAAATGTAAAGGATTGTATAATAACCAATATATATATATATATATATATATAAGTGACAAATTTATAGTTTACTAATAATATTTAAAAAAATTAAGGATAAATATTTAAAACTTTATATACCATAAGGAATAAATATGTAATCTCTAGTATTCATATTAGTATGAATTTGATCATGAATATACTACAATTTCAACTCTACTTGCTATAGTTTTTTTTCCTTATTGGATTCTCGATTGATCTCAATGACTTCTCGATCCATTTTGATAAAAGCTAAAAGCGATAGGTTGTGGTTTCATACACACAAACACATAACATATCAAGCGATAACTTCTCGATTGGTCTCGAAGAAAAATGAAGGTAATGGTTTATGATTTTGCACACACAACACCACCCCAAGTTAATGCATCTGTTCTCGATGGGTACCAGTGGGTTCTCTATCGGTCTTGATGGGTTTTCAATCCGTCTCAATGTATTCCCGATCCGTCTGGCTAAAAGATAAAGTGGTAGGTTATGGTTTACACACACAAACAAATAGTAAATCAACTGATACGTTTTTTATAATCTCGATAAAAAAATGAAGGTGGTAGGTTATGATTTTACATAAAGATCGATGTAAGCATTACCAAAGATCGAAATATTACCAACAAAAACGATGGTAAAATAAGTAAAGAGGCATAAGCGCTTAACGATATCAGTTACCTTACCAATTGAGCATGACACCGATTAAGAAACTTACCTGCTAAGAAGCATAAAGTGAGGAAGAATACGTTTACCCGAAAAGCGCTTAGCATGTTTAAAACGCTCACCAACGATCCATTGTGATTGTCAAGAAAGTTAGATGACAAGACAATTGAGGGTACGGTAACTGTTTGGTAAACAGCCGCTTATATTATGCTATTTGATGACCGGAAATCTTACACGGTAAAGCGAGAGTGTTGACTCTTACCCGGTGAGCACTTATAAAGTTTGTGACGGTAAACGGCCCCATACTCGGTTTGCGCTTGCCCAAGTTGTATCGGTAAACGACCGTACTCGTAAAAGTCCTACACAAGCAAAAGCCATACACCCAAATGACATATTCCCTATAAAATCAAGGTTACACAGATGTCGTCAATCGCTACAAGATCAGACATGTAAAATGAACAAGATCCAATGAACAATACAAAAAGTCATGTTTTCATCTCGATGATTTCAACTTTCTTCAAGGAGCTCGAAGTAGTCATCGCGTTATAAAAACGTTACACGTCAAGATGTTGTGCATTTGGTTGTTTTTAGGCAAGGAACTCATTTACGAAACCTGGCACAGTAGACATCGTGTGCAACAAATCCCACGCTCACCGTTCTTCCGTCAAAAATCCGGCCATGTAAACAATGTGCAGCCATGGAAGAAGCTTCGGTTCTTTTGTACTCCACCAACACACAACCGACCTTAAAAGTATCGTTCAGATCAGATGCCTCATCTTTCGTGGCACTACGTGATTCAAGCGAGACCATCTCCAGTTTCAATGGTTTGTTTTCGGTCCCAAAATCATCTCTAGATTTGAGGTCATTCAACTCCATTTGATCAATTGCCGAGCTTATCTGGTTCGAATTCTCCTCCAAATTCTGGTTTTCTAAAACACTATTATCAGATGTTTCATCTTTCACAATCTTGTTTTCATGGTTATCACCATTGATCTCATTAACTTCTTCAGGTTTATCATCATGACAGTCGTTTCCATCTGCAGGTTCTTTGATTTCTTGATCTTTATCGCTGCCTGAAGGCTCGGATCCTCTTTCTCTGGATTGGTCCTCGGTTACTATATCGGCCATGGAACAATCTTCTTCAGCAACTTTAACTGTATCTGAACTTGTGGGATTGTCGTTTTGCTTAATGATGTTAATCGACTTGACCATGCCAAACCTACAAAATTGTTCAGACAACATATTGTGTAAGGATAGTGATATCATAGACAAAACTTAAATCTAATCCATCTTCCTATTCTTGTTTTTTGTGTAATTATGGTTGTCCACACCAATTTGCGCACACCTCGATTAATCCCATGGGGTCCTGAAGATAACAACCAGGAAAATTCCCCAGTGGCCCTGATGAGACTCGAACTGGCGACCACGAGCCAAGGCCCGATCATAGAGAAAACTTAAACCAAATCCATCTTCCTATTCGTTATTTTTTGGTAACCATGTGTGTTCATGCCAGCTTGTGTGCGACTGGAATAATCCTATGAGGCCCTAAAAATAACAGCAAGGGAAATCCCCAGTGGCCCTGAGGAGACTCGAACCGGCAAAGGGAGGAAGCCCAAGGCGTAGCCATTATTTGCCAACTGAGCCGACCCTCAAGGTTTATCTTCCTATTCTCTCTCTGTGAATATAGCATATAGGGATTTAACAAGTAAAAGAAATAGGGAGTCATCAGGTTAGACCTGGTACACTCTAGTCGTACATCTTCTAGTATTTCTTCCAATTCCGGTTCAGAGAGCGACAATAGGCTGTTCGGGTCCAGCTACACAGCCAAGAAGAACAAGTAGATCAGAATATTAAGCAAACCAACCCAACCCAACGCAACCCGATATGTCCCACCAAGAGGTGAGGTTCTTGCGGTTGGGATGTACACAGACCAGACCTGACCTCTAGGACAAAGAGTAGATCAGAATGGTAAATAAACCAACCCAAACCAAATGACTCGGTATATCCCACACGGAGGTGGGGTCTAGGGGTAGGATGTACGCAGTAATGACCTCTACCCAAAGAGCAGAGCAGATCAGAATGATACAACTGTTTTGAATACTAATAGGTCCCGTTTGGTTTGCAAGATTTCATTGGATTTGGGTGGATTTGGAATTGAATTCCATTTCAATCCCATGCTCGGATTGAAGGATTTTCCCGGATTCGTAATCAGGGATTTATTGAAATCCCACAAACAATGGATTTTGAAATCCGACGGGGTGGTTGGTATTTCACAGGATTTCCTAGGATTTGTATGTAATAATATGTTAAAAACATTTGTTTTGTAATAATCAATTAATAAAAAGATAATTTAATTATTTTTATAATTATCTATAATGAATGGAATTGAATTCCATTCCCAATCCCTCCAATTCCAAATCCTTCCACGAAATCCAAATTCCTCAAAACCATTCCATCAAACCAAACGCCCACTAAAAAAGTTCTACAACATTTAACTTGGAAAACCATACCACATTACTGAGCTTCAGAACTTGTGTAGGTTCTTCAAGAAGCGGTCGTGCATGCTCTGGAGTTCCATAGAAAGGTTGGTCGCCATGGTTTTCCTGATGATGTGATGGTTAATAAGGTCTTAACTTCTCATAAAGTAAAGAAATTGACCCAATTTCTTTTCTCAAGAGAGTGATATTGTACCAGTGATGAAGCATCTGGAGTTGCTTGAGTTACAGTCAGAACTTTCCCACCCAACTTCATACCATTAAGACCCACACATGCTTTGACAGTAACAGATTGATCAACGTACTGCAGAACGATACATGTGAGTAAATAAAATCTAAGAAATGGGGAGATAAGCTTTAAATACCAACAATGATGCTAACCAAGTATTTCCTGACGGTGCATTTGGTATGCAAGCAGGAAAGGACAGGACTGGACGAGCGAGATTGAGATAGGTGGGTTAAAGAACTGTGGGAAGGTTTTAAGATTTTAATTTGAAATTAGTAGTTTAGTAATTTACTAGTCTTGTCCCTCTCAGTGATTTTTGTTCCACCTATTTTGATGGGGGAAAAAAGAAGTGATTTTTGTTCCACCTATTTTGGTGGGACAAAAAAAGTGATTTTTGTTCCACCTATTTTGGTGGGACAAAAAAAATACATTTTTGTCCCACTCAGTCTGTGTACCGTCCCAGTCTATTGTTGCAGCAAACATGGGACAACAGGTTTTTGTTCTTCCTATCCTTTTCTGTCCCATGTACCAAACACACGGTTTCCAAATTGGAACCATTGGAAACATAACTCCCCATTCACATCAATCCATTATTGTAGCATGGCTTCGACAAAGATTCATTGTTCACGGGATTTCTAAGTTCAAATAAAAGTTCAAAGAAAACAAACACAGGTAATGTGAAGTGGGAAGGAAGGAACTAAAGTAAAGTAAGGGTACAAAAAGGACGTCAAAATAACTTAGGGTTACACAAATTAAAGGTGCCCCGGTAGTTCAGTTTTGAATGGCATTGATCTGTGCAGTGGACTAGCTTTTTGTTACTTTGGCTTTCGCATAAATGAAAAGGCTGAAAAGTATATCAACTCATCCCTCATGCCAAGGAACTGTTTCCACGAAACACGTTGCTTAACAAATAAAAACATTGGGATAAGAATCTTATGGTCTAAACGTTTCCAGTTATACCCTGAAATAATCATCAATAGTTTTAACACTAAGTCATACTTCCATGATGATGGCAGATGCAATAAGTAGGGACATTAGGCCTAGTGATTTTTCTTACAGATAGATCTGTTTTTTGGAGCAGACAAACTGAAAAGTGTATGCCTTCCTTTTTCTAGTTAAGAATATAACTAATGTCAAAGAAGACACAGACTTTTTCTGCTATATTGTAATTTTATGCTCTCAATTGAGCAGGAAAGAACATCAAGCATAATCAAGATTGACAAACTACAAATTAGGAGCTACCATAAATACAAATAGAATAATGATAGTTACAAAACCTCAACGAAGGCGTATGGACCGTCAAGATCTGCATTAGCCTCAAAGTGGTAGGCCTTTAGAGGTCCAAAAGCACTGGCAATCTCCATGAGCTGTGAAGAATAACTTGCAGCTAATTAGATGCATAAAAAAAATGAATTAAAACCAAAAAAAGAACTTGAGGTAATGGTGCTTACCATTTTAGATGTGATAAGTTTTGAAAGCCCACCAATGAAAATCTGCAAGACAAAACCATATGCCATTCTTTCAAGAAGCAAAGACAATAAACCAATCAAGAAATTTACTAAAGATGCAACCATAAGTGTAACTCTCAATTGTCCTAAAAAGACACCCCACTAAAGGTCAAATGATTTATGATATTAAAGTATCCTTCTGCTGATCGACAGGGTATTAAAGAAATCTAGTCACAAGACCAAGGGCGCTATCAACAGATTTAAAGAATTCAAAACACATGCAAGGCCTACTGGAAATCTAGGTTCTAACCCTAGAAGAGTGGCTCCTGCTTGTATGTTTTTGAATTTATATAATTTGTTATCCTTGGCTGCATAAATTGCAAGCTAAGATGGCATACTTGTTCTGTAACTTCACAGATCAAGATATATAACTGCTGTTATGTAAAAGACTTATGCTAAGATGCTAAACAATGGACTAGGTTCATCCCCAAGCAAGAAAAACATTGGCAACCTGAAGTATGTATATTAGTTCTTTCATTAATTTCACAATATAAATCACGCCCACGAGATACTGGTGAGTGAATGGTAGTTTGCATAAAGCGAAATGAAATAAAAGTTAGGCAACTGTAGAATTACACCACCTTGACCCTGATGTACCAACCTTATCAAAGATAGAAATAATTCAACAATAATATTAGAGAAATATTTCTAAGATTAAAACACTATAGATAAAAAGTATTGTGATGGTTTCTCATGCAAACCTTGTTAGGGGAGTCTTCAACGATGTTTTTAACTGAAACAGCTCCAGCCACAGGTTTCTCCGACACACCAGTCTGCATGAAAATAGCAACTGTCTGAAAACCTGCTACATGAATGGTAACCACAGTATACCTCAGCAACCACAACTTAATTACCAAGAACTAACTCAAACATTAACTATGTTATGCTACCACGTGGCATGAGAACGTAAACAAAGAACTAATGATACATTGATACGTATATCAAAACAACTATATGGGAATGATATATTACTACAAGATTTAAAATATCAATTTGCAAGTTCCATTACATTACAGAAAACACCAAGGAGGTTTAAAGTTGTAGAATGAAAAGAAACACTGCATACAACATCATAACTTCTACTCAGGAACTAGACCAGAAATATAACGTTGATAACCTTCTCTTCATGTGAGTATCCTAATGCCAAACTAGAAGAAGGAACAAACACAGCTCCTAGTCTCAGGAGGCAGTTTCACTACAGCTGAAGACAGGAAATCATTGAAGAATGCTGATTTTGATTGGATATACAGATAGTAATACTCACCTGTTTGTTTTACACAGAGAACTATTCATTCTATACAACTACATTGCAAAACTCCTGTATTCTCAAACAAAAGGCAAGTAAACAGTTGTATTAAACATAAATACAGACAAGTTGCAACATGCCAAGTACAGTCCTCAAGTTAATCAGCTCAGTGCAAAATTCTGATCCAAGAACTCTCAAACTTGATGTTTCCACTTTCCACCAGACCTAAAACTAAGTATGCACTAGCATATACCACACAAACAAGATATTTTGGGTACTTAAATACATCCCATACATGTCTGAATTGTAGGTTCTTATAGACATGAAACAAATGCCACAAGTTGGATCCAATAATGGCGCCCTGTACTCCCTCAGGATCGTAGAGCTTTCACTCGCGAATATAGATCTTCGCAGACCAAGTTTTAGAACCCCAATACTTCAAACCTATTATACATTTAGTAACTATCTTTTTTCCTGTTGTTATTGCTACAAAGAACAAAAGACCTAAGTATCAGTCGGGACTCGGGACCATTGAATGTATAAATGGCAAAAGCTAAATATGTGTACCAAGTCTTTTTTATGGAAGAGGACCTGCATTCGCAACAAATATTGCCACTACAGCGTAAGTTCTTCATACTCAGAGAAAAAAATATTACACTACACCTGAATATCTTCTTATGTTAGGAGTCAGCTTCATCACCATCCTGAACGTGAATTATGATATACCCAACATAAACAGCCTATTTAAGAATCCAACATGATTGTCAGAAAAGAATATCTTCTAAAGAAAAGATGATCATAGAAATATCATATAAACAAATGATAAAAAGGAAGGTACTGGAGTTGGATTTAGTTTATGCTAATATCATCAAAAACTTGTACTTATTAGGTATGACATGGGTTAGAGAAATCCCATGTAAGAAATTACTGCAAGTCAATAGATTCTTATTATAACAAAGTTATCTCCAAATTTAGATGATTATTAGCTTTGCTATCCACATTATATGAACGAAAAAAAACACAACTCTTGAATAAGAAAGCATCCAAATGAGAACAATTGCTCTCCTGGATTGCCTCCTAATAAATACCTTCCCATTCATATTGCCAACGAAATTAAGGCATTACTTCAGCTTGTTTCTGTATTATCATACTTGGGAAAATTTTGATCTTAACATCCCCCATAATGGCATAAATACATCTAACAACCCATCATTAACAAGATATCACATGGTACGCATACAATTATCATATAGCTGAAAGGTCAACGGTATACATGTTAGTTTACATCAGGAGAAATATTCACATAGATACCATTATTAACATAAATATATCTGATCACCTGTTTTGGCAAAACATCACATGAACAGGTCATGAATATTGAATGTCAAAAATACCATAGGATTTTGGAAAGAAAAACACAACTGTTAGAAAAGATTTTACTTTCGTCTTCTACATACACTTCACAACCCATCAACACGGCCTTAGATCTTCAGCTTTATCATCACAACATACACACATCCCCACTACAGGGATGGAAAATCAGCTTCTACCAGATCGATGTGCTTGGTTGACCCCCTCGATTTTAACTCCTAAATACCCTCAATTTCAACTAATAATCCTCAAATATACCTTGAATCTGGCTGTAGACTACGGTTGCCTTTGATGTCTAGAGTGTAGCTGCGTCAACAGCAACACTTATGCATGTGTATCTACTCATGTCTGTGTGGTCTGTGTATCTACTCATGTGTTTGTCTGTGTAATGATGTTATTTTTTCAAAAGATAGCCACATTTACTGACATAAATGGGGGTCCAAGTGAAAATTATTACACCTAAGATCAACAACATAGTTTTTCGAGAGACAACGAAGTGTAATAATGAAGTCAAGTTCATTGCAGGTAAGCCGATAATAATATGAACATACAAATAATGATGTAGAACATATATGAAGGTTTGGTTTTCCATTGTGAAAGAAAGATCAAGTTCATAACCGCAAAATTCCATTTTGGGACACACCGTGTCAGACCAATGGTATTTGTCCCTTGCTTATTTTGCATGTAAGATATCTCTCTTATATTTATGACAGTGACACCCGTTTATTGGAAGGCTGAAATTGGAGCCCGTTAAAAGTTAAAAAAGCAAACGCTTCTGATTTGGAGAATATTAATAATCTTCATCTGTTTACTTATTTAGAAAGTATATCTCACTGCAGGTAGATCAACTTCAAATCTAAGATAAAGTGTCTGTTAAATCAGATTTTCACCAGCCACATGAATCAGCTTCCCAAACACTTTATATGCTAATTATCTAAGTAACAAAAGCTATGTGATGTGATAAGATTAGTATCATAGAGACAATAAAGAAAACTAAATTACAAGAAAATAACTATCTTGGTGGTAAGTCCTAAAACTTTTGAACTCAAAGCCATCACCTACAGTCTACAAATGACTATCTTGTAAAATCCTTAACCAACAAGTTTCGATTTACCCAATGCAGATGCTTAAAACAAGGTACTCATAAGATTTTCTGTTTCAACCTCAAATATCCTTCTAATGAAGTAGAAAAGTGCCAACTAAAATGACACACTCCTTGCCATCATCAACCTGCAATGCTTTCTTTAAAATCCAAGATCTTAGATCAGCATTTAGCTACAAGGGGCCATCAGGTACTATATCTATCTAACGTAATAATTAACGTTGCACTTCAAGATTTTCCTGTGTACAACACAATTGACTTGCATATCGACACATTCTGGGTACACTGAGGTGGATGGTCGTGCACATACTATAATCATCTGTGAAAAGCTGGACAATATTGATTCCCTATTATATTCATTATGGAAGCTTAAGATCTTTAGTCGTAGCCTTGTAGGAAGCAAGTCTGTTTACCATTTGTAGATCTACAGATCTATCATTGTTAGGTTAACATATTGATAACGTAGTACACATTCAAGTTCTTCAGCCAGTAAGTAAGATAGGCAACAAGTACATGTGCATAAGCCATAAGTGGACATGGTTTTCAGTCTTACACTTGCATCAACGTAATCTTTGGGGCGTCTGATCTTAAGAATGTTCCCGGAGAAAGACCTGCCATCCAAACTGAGAGCAGTAGAAGCATCCTCAGGTGTGAGAAATTCCACAAGTGCCTGACCCTTCTCCTTGTTCACCTGCAGTCAAACCATGATAAGCCATGCCATCTTCTATATTCCATACAAACATGCAATATATTAAGAAGGCATGTCTCTGAAAGCAAATAGATACTTACAATACAGCTAATACATGGACTTGTGCCCTGGACATGATTAACACCAGAAGGTCGAAGATAACCACCAAGCCATTCCATGACAGCTGCCTCAGAGGCTGAAGATGGCAAGTTTTCTACATAAATCCTCCTTTTAGGCCTGGTTGCTTGAGTTAGCTGGACGGAATCAACAGTAGAATTCATCATTGAAGGAATGCTGGAAAGTAGTCCAAAGGTTGGCTTGGGGATACTTGAAATGAGGGGAACCACACTGGCAACCTCCTGTCTATTTGATAGTTCAGTTTTGTTTAATGACAGCAAATCAGACTGGAAAGAACTAATAAAACTTCCTTCCATCTTAACAGGTGGCGAGTCCCATCCAGCGTTCTTCTCTGGAGAACGACTAGTTGGGGAAGGAGTCTTAACAGCAGCCTCACTTCTTCTCTTCCTTGGTGAATAGCCACCAAGTCTACTTGCAGCTGTTTCATGTCTCTTAGACTTGTTACTTGAACCATTGATTGATATTCTCTTCCTGTCAACATTGGAATCAAATCTTCCTAGCCTATCTTTTGAAGAATGTGCAGATAACTCTTCGTGCTCTTGCACATCATGTAATCTTTGTTTATATCCCCTTGGTGAAGGCGAATTGGACCTTCTTTTGTCTCTTGTACGCTCTCTGCTCCTGGACCATTTACCTTTCAATTTTAAGTCTTCATGGCGAGATTCAGATGTTCCTTTTTTTTGCTTCCTCTCTGAAGTATCGGAATCATGCCACGTTCGTGATTCATGTTTTTTTCCAGCATCCTGGTCTCTAGTTCGCTCGTCATATCCATTTTGCGTTCTCGTCTTACTGACATGTTCAGATCTCCCTCTGTTCCTCTCAACATTTCTGTCCCTGGCTTTAATTGCAGAATCCTTACCATGCCTCTTTCCATATTCATTGTCAGAGTCATCACTTGACCTATCCTGGTTCTTTCTCTTCTCGTTGATACCTCTTTCTTTCCTTCTATCTTTAGCATTATCACTACCAACCTTTGATCTTCTTTGAGCATTATTACTTTCTCTGTATTCACCTTCCACTATTTTGCCTTCTCTCATCTTAGACTTATCCTCTTTTGCTCGAGAATGTACCTTTAAAGGCTCCTTAGAAGCATGTTGTTCATGGCCACCAACGTCCCTGCGTTCGCGTCTTTCAGATTCCACAAGACCAGTAACACTCTGGGCTCCTTTAACAGAGGCTACCTCTGAATCACCTTGCTGGTCTTCAACACTTCCAGATTGCTTTTTGTTTTTCCTTCTAAGCATGATCTCATCAAAACTAAAAGGCCTAGTTCGTGCAGCAGTGCCATCGTTGGAAGGACTCTGTGGGATTTCACATTTGTTTGTGTACTTGTGCTTGTGCCCAGTAGACTTTCTCATTATGCTTGAAACAAACTTTCTCCAGAAGAATTTTCTGAACTAGCAATACAGCAAGCACATCCAGGATGCTTGGCAAATATGCTAGACAGACATATCATTCACCTACTGTAATCAGATAGTCATTAATTCTCAGGCTCCAAAAACCCTATCCCTGCAACTAAAGGGAGTGTATCAGAAATGGTACCATGGAGTGCAATAGAAATGGAACATCCATCTTACCAGATTGACATATTAAACCCAAAACCCCAAATGATCGAAATTTTATCTCAACCAATTGGTATTGCGATTTCTGGTCTTAATTGAAACATGTTCAGATCGAGAAAACCTAGGCACAACAACAATCAACGGCCTCCTACAAAAACAGAAGTGTTCTCAAAATATAAACGAACCACTTCCATTAATCGCAAGACCAAATGTGCAATGCTTTCGTGCATATATTAGGAACCAATACCACGAAAGTAATGGCAGTTTATACATAATAAAGAAGAACAAAAAAACAGAAGATACTTTAGGATTATAGCAAATCAATAGGTTACCTATAGACGTGGTCAGGTAAGAAACAGAGTGGCGTCTCCTCGTCGCCGGCGGCGGTTTGAGGTTCTACGTTAGGTTACTGCTACGTCGCCTTGTTCCCAACACAGACTTATCCCTGCTGCCTGTCTGGCCGCAATCGCCTAGGTTCTCTTTTCTCGAGTTTTTCTGATTTATGACAATTCAGGTACTTGTACTTTATATTCTTTCCATTTGTGCCCTGTATTTTAGTCTTTGCTATTATGCCCCCTCCAACTTCAACTTATTAGTCAATACTCACCCTAATCTTGGTTAACGGCAACATTCAAGTCATTTATCGCTTCGTTTTATTACATAAAAGGTCTCATAGTCTCATGTTTGATTCCGTAAATCGTTATCGATGCTTGTTGTAAGACACATAAATAGAACTTTCTCTCCTACACATAAATTGGTTAACGTTCAAATATCACTATTACACATATCGTGTGAGAAGAGAAGTTATGGTGAGAAGTATAAGAATAGATCTGAACTCTTAATCTCATGTGCACCCATGAAGTCTGCTTTGGAAATGAGTTGATCTGGTGCGTCTTGGTACACCTCACTAGCGTTAACATTCAATTAGGATTGATCTAATGATAGAGACATTTTTTACGCTTCATCATAACTTCACTTCTTTAACGAAACCTAACCCTACACATAAATTGGTTATTGTTCGGACGTCACACATATCAAAAGAAAGTATATCATTGAATAAGTCGACATATATTTAATAAAAATAATTAACTAAATTGCTTGCATATTATAAATGTTATACGAAAAATTTGATTATTGCAATTTAAACTTGCAATTATTGGTTTAAAATTTTATCTAAGGTGTAGCTCAGTTGATAAAAGGATTAGATGATTTTACTTGAATACAAGATAGATAATGGATTTGATCCCCCCTCCCCTCAGGTTAGGCATTGAGTGAACCAAAAAATGTCCTCTTATACTGGTGTCTTTTGAAGACAGGTTCTGTATGAGACCAGTTTTTTCCTCAAATAATTGGTTTGAAAAATGTTTAGTTTTATAATTTGTTTAAGATCAAGATAATCGGATTCTAGTGAACCATAAAACTTAAAACTTCGACTTTTTTCTATTATTAATATGATTCTTAAAAGGTTATATTAAATACTCAAAAGAACTTATATCCAAACACCATTTTAGCAATGATAAAAAGTGTATAATGTTATCAATACTTTCACCCAAAAAGTATAAACCCATATATATATATATATATATATATATATATATATATATATATAGTGAGAGGAAAGATCAAATATTAACCAATAATTTTGTGTTAACTTTGCAAATCATGTCAACCAATCAAATTCCATTATTCTAGTAGGTTTATGTCATGTTCACAATTTAATTACAAGGGTAATTCAGTAAATTGATTTGATATGTAACTCCCAAACAATTAATGGGGAGTTACAAATCATCAAATCCCAAAAAATATGCAATCATAATATTAATATTTTTTATTTTTTTTAATCTTGATCTTTCATGTTCATTGTTTTATGAGTTTTTAATTCGCATAGGAAACACGGTAGTAAAATTTTCGGTATCGATCAAGCTAATATGGATAAACGCAATGGAAAAGAAATCGACAACAATGAGAAGATTAAAATGGTTTATGATGACAATCGGAGTTCGAGGTCGGGAAGTGATGAAATTAACCAAAGCGAATGTCTTGATAATAGATTAATATTTTTATTAGATTCGTTTTAATTGAAATTATGTTCATTACGATGTATTGTGTTTTTTATAATTCATCTTGTATTGATAGTTTTTTTTTAATTGCACCACATGTTCATAGCATAGATGTTATGTGTTCATATATTTTGTAATTAAAATGTGAACATGTCAATTTTTTGTTCGTAGTTGACACAATGGTTCATATATATATATATATATATATATATATATATATATATATATCCAAATGAGAACGTTAACTATTTAAGAAAACAAAAACAAAAAAAATGTTGTTAATGTACAAAATTACATATCATTTTACATTAATGTCAAAAAATGAAAGCAAACGACTTTTGAACTTGTATGATTTTATACGTGAATATGTGTGTGTGAATCACGTATGATTTTGTACATTAACGACTTTTTTCTTAGTTTCAACGTTTTCGTTTGAACTTGTTCCTATATATACATATACATATACATACATACATATATATACATACAAGTTGTGTACCTACGCAATGCGACGGGAGCCGTGAATTTTGATGCTTTTGAAGTTTCATTGGTTTTATTAGAGAAGATTTAACGATGATATAAGTTACATTTGGTCTTTACATATTAATACAATTTGAACAATAAAAGCTATGGTTCCAATTACAGTATATCGATGAAAAAAATGTATGACAGTTTTAAATCCAATACATTTAAAATCCAACATATTTAAACGACTCCATAAATGTATTCGATTTACACCGAGAGCAAAAAATCAAGAGATCGAGACCGAGACCGAGACCGAGAGTTCTAGAGCAATTGAATGAAAGATCTTTTAATAATTCATGGTAAATTTAATTTTGAATCTCACATTGGGAGATGGGGAGAAGAGAGTGAAGACATTAATGAAAGGTGTCAAAAGTATCTTGAGAACATAAAAAAAAAAAAAATAATATGCATTGGTAACTTGTATTATATTTTATTTTCAATTTTTAATTGTAGATTAAGAGATTTTTAAGACTGAATGCATAAAGTGGTAGTACTTAATGCATTAGAGTTGTTTTTAAAACTTTTAAGACTTTGTACATAAACGTATCATACTTTGTGCATTAAAAATTGTTTTTAAGACTTTTAATAAATTTGGTTTATAAGATAGTATAAATAGATGCATACATACATATACATAAATATATAGGGTTTGGATTTGGATCTACATCCTTGAATCAATTCTAATTGAAAATCAACCCTAATGATCGTGTAAAAAAAAGAGATGCAAGAAGCAAAGAAAGAGATCTGAATCACCTTTAATCTCAAACCCACTCAGATACAGGGACTGATCGGGTGCATCTCATCCTAATGTGCATGCAAAGATGAAGATCACCTCTTACGCTTCTCATCGAAACCCAACCCTGTATTATGTGTGTGTGTATATATATATATATACACACACAAATCTAGGGTATTTTGAACTAAATGTTATTACATATTGAAGACTACACCATAAAGCAGATGATGATTAAAGATACAAATACATGAAAACATCTAAGAACACATACATAATTAACAACAAATGACTTGTTTCAAGTGCCGGGCCCTTTTAAATCTTCCTGCAGCTTCAACCTTGAAACCATGTGCTCCACCTTCTGCATATTTCAAATAACAAATTCAATAAGAAAGAAGCACCATTAACAAACTTTCTATGGCCTTATATATATATATAGGTCCGTAATTATACAACCCTTGACATTTGTACAACCAATACAACCCAATCTCAACCGTCCATTTCATCTGATTAATATGTGATTTCATAGAAGTTTTGATTGTTTTCTAATATAAAGTATTGATCATAATTAATGAACCATATTCATCTTCCATAAACATTCAAATCATAATAAATGAACTATCATCATTTCCAAAAATATCTCAATTTATTGGGTTGCATTGGTTGTACAAATACGATAAGTTGTATTTAAAACAAATATATATAAGGCTAAACCTAAATATCACAAATAAGAAGGGAGGTTTATACGTGAATTCATTGAAAAATCCAAAAAATCTATTTGAAAATACATATATGAACCGATGTTATAGATTATTCATGAGTTCATATATGCATATTCAAATGAATTTTTTTAATCGTTCACATATGAACCTTTCTTTAATCATCATTTCTTACCTTCTCACGATGTTTAGCCTACTTATTTGAACCCCCCCCCCCTCTCTCTCTCTCTCACACACACACATATAAAGAGAGAGAGAGTGGAGTTTCTAATACAGACACTCTAATTAGTACAAACCATATAAGTCAATCTCCACCATCCATCTAGTCTAATAATATCTGGTTCAATGAATATCCCAGTTGTTTCCTAATATAAATGGTTGAATCGTAATGAATGAACTTTGATAATCTTCCATAAATATCCAGATTATAATAAAAAAACTCTCTTCATTTCCATAAATATATCAATTGATTGGTTTGTAAGGTTTGTACTAATTAGATAGTTTACAAAATAAACCGTCTCCCTCTCTATACATACGCATAATCATTTACAAACCCAATAAATCGTACTTATAAATCATATTTCATGCATATGAAAATACAATGTTTATACTTTGTTGTTTCATATGTAAAACGTTCAGAACTGTTTTACGTCTGGAAAAAGAACAGTTTTGAATGTTTCACATATGAAACAACCTTGTATATACACTATATTATGAAACAACACATGAAAACTAGTTTGTAAGTTTGTATGAATTAGGGTTTGTAAAAGAAGGAAACTCTCTCTCTCTCTCTCTCTCTCTATATATATATATATATATAACGATTGCAGAAAGGCAAAGATAGGAACCTCGCAAAAATGGATATGTTGAAAGCAAATTGTTGCATTTATTTTTGAAGGGGAAGGTATAGAACAAGAACAGTCATGAACTAAACAGCAAACTATGACACTTAGAAGCTGTCAAAGTTGTCTTGCTGCAGAAATTTCGACATTTGGCACAGAAAACGCAATGACTCATTTACGTTATGGTCTAATGTCACATTTATCAAACCGTGAGAACCAACTATTCATGAATTATTCACCATGAATATAACTAATTATTCATGAACATCTTTCACGATATTCATCATGAATAAGTCATAAATAGTGGGTTCTCATGATTCTCAAAATATTTACAGTTCTCAAATGAATCTACCTCTGTACTCGGTGGTGCTAGTAAAGCGACTTACATGCTCAGTGTGTGGCAAATACTTCCCATCAAAGGTCAGCACTACGCGATCCTTCCCATCCACACCTTTCACTTTGTCAACAGCGCAGAAGAAGTCTATAGCTGACATTCTAACAAAACGAAGTACAAACATGAATAAACGTTCAATCAAATGCAAAACAATCCATTACAGGAATTTGTTGATTCTTAAGCTCCGTGTGTCCATTGCTGTTATGGAAAAGCTTGTTGATGTTTCTTAAAAGCCAAACCCTGCATTTTGGTTGCTATAATCTTGTTTCTAGTGATCGTTAGTTAGTCGATATAATGCTCGTCAGAAGATTCATGCCAATCAAGATTTCTTGATCGCTTTCATTTGGCACTTCGTTAAAGTATACTTATTGATTATTAGTGTGTATTTGCTACGCTGATAGAACAAGCAAGAGTGAGGTTGAAAGGTGAAAGAATTCTGTAAGGTTTTAGGGTTTTAATTTGACATGGGTGGTTTAATAATTTATCAATCTTATATCATTCCCGAACTTTTGTTCTGGGAAAAAGTCCATTTTTGTCCACTCAGGTCCACGTCCTAGTTCAATGTTGCACCCAAGGACGGACCTATTAGGAGCTAAGCAAGCTCCTGTGCACCCGTTCAATCGATAATTACAAGATAAAAAGATTTTGGGCGTTTGAAAAGTGCACCCGCTTGATCTTGAGGTATGCCCTTAGACATTTTTTTTTATTAACCTGGATATCCAACCTGCTATGCGAGTCACCGCATTTGAACCTCCGTGGCCACAAGGGGATTTTTATTCCTACTTGGATTTGAACCTGAGACCTACTGGTACTTTTGACCTTTGGAGCCAAGCTCAAACCAATCAGGAACCACCGTTGTGGTTGCCCTTAAACACTTTAAAACCAAATCTATAACATAAGTTAAACACGGGTGAGATGGTTGGATTACCGCTCCATATGCAAGACATCATGAGTTTAAATCTTTTCAAGTGAAAAGATCAATTTTTCAGCTTTTAATTTTAAGCTCCGGATATTTTTCATGATTTTTTTCTAATGTCAATTCATCTAAAAAATCCTCGCTTTTTATCTCATTGTCAACGAAACATATATGTATTTTAAGGATCAAGATCGATTCCGTTTGAAAAAAACAGTATATTTTATTCGGCAAATCAACACAATTGACTTTTCTCGAGTTCAAATTGTGTTGACTTTCTTCCGGGTGTCAAACCGCAAACAAGTTTCTGTAATGTGTTTGGGATTGCTTATCTGAAACAACTTATGTTTTTCTATAAAAGCACTTATCAATTTATTATAAGGAGGTGTTTGGGATTGCTTATAAAAACAATTTATTGACTTATTCCGGTGTGGTGCCGGTAATAAGCACTTTTGAGCATTTGGATAAACAACTTATACCGGTGTCAAACCGGTAATAAGAAGTTTTTGAAGAAGTTAAACTCTTCTAACTTATAATAAGTTGATAAGTGCTTTTGTAGAAAAATATAAGTTGTTTCAAATAAGCAAATCCCAAACACCCCCTTAAGTCGGAAGAATTTAACTTCTTCAAAAACTCTTTATCATCGGTTTCGCACCGGTATAAGTTGTTTATCCAAACACTCGAAAGTGCTTATTTCAGGTGCCCATCAGAATAAGTCAATAAGTTGTTTTTATAAGCAATCCCAAACACCCCCGTAATATATTCAAAAAACCAAGTGAATCTTTTTAGTAGTGAAGAGGAGTGACTTACATTCCATCACCAAATTCTTCATTGACGATTTCCTTAATACTTTCACCAAAGTGCATAACCGCTTCATTTAACCTTCAAAATTTCAAGCACCGTTAGGTGACAATTCAAAAATGATGATTTGATCTGATAATTAACACCAATTCAAATACCAACAAAACAATCGAATCCGTTTCCAGCTGATTGTGTTCAATCAATTACAAATTTGATAGAGTTAATTTTAAGATCGGTTTTCCCCTATCATCACAAAGTATCATCAATCTAGTGGCGAAATTGAACATTAATTGAATAACAATAAGGATATGGATGATAAAAAACAAATTAGGGTTGGGTTATATAACCTGTATATGGTGGGATCTTGGATGATTGTCGGATCATACGATCTAAGAGGGGGTTCCGCCATCTGGAGGATATGTGTTTCCGTCAAGCCGGGGAGTGCTGCAAGGAGTTTAGGGGCGGTTTCGGGCTTTAATTGTGCTTGACGTCTCAAGAGCTGAGCAACGTAGACGTTAGTCAAGCCGATCTCCGCCGCTATTTGACTGAAAGTCTTGCCGGAATTTCGCTTCACCGCCATCAACGAACTCACCACGCTGGCTTTCGTCGGCGTTTCCGATTCCATTTTTAACGATTCAAGTAAACTCCCACCGATTGCTGCCACACTTTATAGGCAAATTTTTCGTCGATTATCAGACGGACGCTGAGCAACGTAGGCCAGTCGATAGCAAGTGTGGGCGGCTTCTTGAGGTTGTGCGATAAATAACGGTGGCAAAACTCAAATCCATATCGTCTTTGTAGGTGGCATCTAGCGTGTGAACGATGTGGTATGGAAAATGATTGAACGGTTCGATAGCAAAACGATTAAATGGTTAAAATGAATTGGAGGTTTTTATAATATAGTATAAAATAAAATATAATTGTTTAGTAATTGTTTAAAATAAAATTAAGGTGCTTAATGGTTAAAGAAGGCTCAGCATACAAAATTATTTAAATGGTTTTAGAATTATTAAATGCTTAATGGTTAAGGAAGGCTTAAGATACAAAATCATTCAAATGGTTTTAGAACCATTAAGAAGTATATTTTTTTTTATCAAACAAGATTCACGTCTTAGGCAGCGTTTGGTGCACAGACTAGACAGGACGAGACGGAACAGGACGGGACAGAACGGGACGGGACAAGACTAATTGTCTGTCCTATGTTTGGTACGAATAGGACAGGACAAGACAAAACTGTTAAAATGATCATATTACCCCTAAATGTTGTTCAATGGAGGATGGTGGAAGAAGACGATTGAGCCGATGTAGAAGAAGACGAGGTTGTGATGAAGTAGGCGATACTTCACAACACAAATGGTGGGATAATTAGGTTTTTTAATGGAAGAAATAAGGGTAATAAAGTCATTTTATATTAAGTCCCATGTTGTTCCATCTTTTTTGGTGGAACAAAAAATATCAAGTTTTGTCCCATTAATTTTAAAAATAGTTCCATCTTGTCCTATGTATTTTTTGTCCATGGCATGCCAAACATGAGACTATTTTTTTTTGTCCCGTCCCGTCCTATGTAGTCCGCATACCAAACGCACCCTTAGTGAATTACATTGTTGGTCCAAGTTCTTTGTATGTTTTACGGTTTTGGTCCCTATAATAGTATAATTCATTTAAGTACATTTGTTTGTCTTTATTTCGTGTTTTTCATAATATATAGGTTTCTTGAATTGACACAATTAAGTAGAGGTTCGTTAAGTACATCATATCAGGGGCAATTTGGTTGTTTTTACTCTTCTTCCAACCACCTCCTTCACCACTGACCACCACCATCATCGCTGCCATCCCCAATTATTGCGGGCCACCACCACCTAAAACAGAATCCAAATGAACTTTCAAAACTCAAGAACGTTAATCTGGATCTAAAGACAAATTCTAAAATCAAATATCATAAAACATCGTACAGATCGAAACTCATTAGCATTAAAAACAAGCATAAACATCAGATTCATATTGTTGGCTTCCATATTCATACTCAAGAACATTCCTAAATCAGAACCTGAATTTGTACACAAGAAAAATGTTGGTTTTAAGATTCATATTTAAGGAATCAGATGCTTCGATAGACTTGAATTTGGATGAAACACACTTGAATCCAACACAATATCTCACCGCCTTCAAAATGTGCATCTGCATTGAAAACCCAGATCTACCATCGAAATACACACTTGTTTCACCTCAAAACCCAACTCCGGTCACCATAGAAATGAGAAATGAAAGGAAGGGGGTTCACGATTAGGTTTGCTCCAGAGAAAGCAAAGTGAGGAGTAGGCAAATTTCATGCTTTGCTATAACAGTAAAGGTTTTAAAAAAATCATTTTTTTCGTCTGAATAGAATCGGAAAAGGGGCAAAAAGGTAAAAGAATGAAAATGTCTCTCACGTGAGAGCACATGATGAGGTTAATAGAGGTTACTTGAGGGGTATTTTTAGGAGGTGTTTGAGATTGCTTATTTGAAACAACTTATGTTTTTCTACAAATGTCAATATCAACTTATTATAAGTTAGAATGGTTTAACTTCTTCAAAAACTATTTATTACCGATTTGGCACCTGCATAAACTGTTTATCCAAACATTCAAAACTATTTATCAGATGAATATAATAAGGACTAAAAATTTTACCCAATAAGAACGAAACAAGGATCGATAGTTTTACCCGGTAAGTATGGGCAATGACTTATTATGATTAGCGCTTACCGGGTAAATTGTTACATATGATGTAATTTTGTTTACTAAAATCTTACTCATTAAATAAATAATAGTGTTAAATTTTAACAATAAATACTTACCGGATAAATGTTTCTTATTATTATAACAAGACAACCAAATTGTCTTATTATATTTTATAAAAGTTTCCTTAAAAAATTTCAAACCACAGGGACTAAAAACGTAAATTACTCTAATAAAAAAACCCGTTTTTGAAATTTTTTTTAATTAAAAAAATTTGTTTCCTACAAGCGATTGGAAGCCACCAGAAGAACTACCCTTTCACCAAAAGCGGAATACATCGATTTCAATGGAGTTTCTACTTCCTCTTTGGTAATTGGAATGTCTTTTTCAAGAAATAATTTGCAGCACTATCATTTCTATGGCACAAAACCCTCAAGATTGTGTTCGGATCGGTGCTGCTCCATTTTCCGGTCGTCGGCGGCATCGGCAGTTTTTGCCCTGCACCACCCGTCACCAGAACGCCGCTTGCCTCGCAAACCAAGCTTCTAAATTCCTCCACCAATTGCTCCGTCGCTTGTCCCATCAACGCCACCACTCCTTCCACCGCCTCCGCCTCTCTGTCCACCACATCCTCCACGATCAACCCTTCGCCACCCGTCACAAATACCCTTTTCAAATTCCTCAAATCTTCTTCGATCATCCGATGATCCGCCCTCGTGAAGCTCCTCGGGCTTCCTCCGGCGAGTAAAACCGTTAAGTACGCCTCGAATGTAGCCTTCATTACTTCCTTCATCGCGATCGGTTGAGCTCGATCGGTCACGATCGCCGTTAACAGAGTTAGATTATGCTTCATGATCTTCACCGCCGGAGTGATTCTTGAATTCTCCACGTCTCCCATGTATAAACTTCCGTAGAAAACCGAGTTAGAATCGAGGAATATTAGCCGGTAGGCCGCGACTTCCGACACGTGTTGGGTGACGGATTGGATGGCGGATCGAGTTTGTTCGAAGTAGGAGCCGCCGGCTCGGCTGCCGCCAAGTCGGTTTTTTGGAGACAAGATGATCCGCGGGGAGAGAGCAAGACTCTTCTCGAACGACTGGAGTTGGGAAAGAATGTAGTGTAAGGTGTTGAGTCGAATGTAGAGTCGTTGCGTTCCTCGGCTCGTCGATGGTCGAGAATAGTTGCCTTCCTCACAACCGACCTCGTTGTTCACTACGCTGCACGGTGCGGCCATTCTCCAAAGTTTGATGAACTTTGAGTCGCGGCCGCACCGAGTTAGAGGCGGCAGTGTGGGAATGTAGCTTTGTTTTGAACCTGAACAACAAAAGAACCGTAATCAAATCATGTTCATAGGATAACCATTACGAGAATATATAGAACCTTGTTAAATTACTTTATATTAAATGGTTTATATTTAAAACTGACGTGGGATTCCAACACATCCCCTCAACAGAGGCTAGGTGGGCCCAGAGTGTCGTCAGGGACCTAAACTAGTACGTGCCACATGGTGTGGGGTCCTTACAGTAGTAGACATTATCGTCTAATATCATGTGATGATATATTAATCCCGATTAGATTATTACACTAAAAGATCCCTAAATACCGAGGAGAATAGGTCCACGTCTAAAACACCCATCCAACAGAGATTAGATGGGCACAGATTGTCCCAAGGTGTCATGGGCGAGGGAGCTAAACAAGTACATATACTGCACCAGAGTGTCGAGTCCCTAGAGTGGCAGACACCGGCTCTCAATATCTCTTTATGCTCTAAGGCTTTTTTTTTTTTATCAACCTGGATATCCAACCCGCTATGCGAGCCGACTAATTCTAGGGCGACCACCTGCTTTGCAGATAGCCCGGAGTCACCGCATTTGAACCTCCATGGCCACAAGGAGATCTTTATTCCTCCTTGGATTTGAACCTGGGACCACCTGATACTTTTGACATTTGGAGCCAAGCTCAGACCAATCAGGCACCACTATTGTGGTTCTCTAGGGCTTTTTTAGAAAGTAATCTAACGAGGTTCCACGTATTCTCCTCTGGTACCAAAGAATGTCTACCACTATGGTGAGTTGACACTTCCGGACAATCTTTACTCATCTAACCCCCCTTTAGACAAACCGTGTCGTTTAACTTCCGTTGAAAGGAGCATGTTCGAGTCTCAAATCAGCTAGACTTTTACACACCACCAAGTTCAAGATTCTTACCACAAGATGCAACAAAAGTTGTATAATCTTGAAGAATCTGTTCAATCGCATCGGCAAACTCACGAACCAGATCTTCCGAGACTCCAATTGGGATATCAAAGAATGAATCGATAGCATCTTTCGTTTGTTTCATTAGCTCCACAGCGGACTGCGCATAAGGCTCGCTTTTCGACTTCGGATTCCATGTCTGCACACCAATAACTCATCAAGAAACCATCAATGGCAGCAACATATTATGAGATCAAAGCAAAAACCAACCTCTGTGTCTTTGGCTGTTTGAACAACATCTTTGGCTTTCTTCAAGCAATCTTGAATCCATTGTCTCAAATATCTCAACACGATCGCATCGACTTCATACGGAACCATCTCCCTCACGACTGTTTTGCCTCCGTCTTCGCATTCTACCGAGTCTTCAACCACCATATTAACCAACACCTTTTCGAGCTTGTTAGCTCTCTGAAGAACAGCAACCGTTTCATTCGAAATCATCGAGTTTGCCGCCAAGAACTGCCGCAGTAAGTTCCCATAGCAGGTGTGCAGTGTCACGGCCGCAACTCCTGCTGAGATCGGATGCCATTTCTTCAACATCGAGCTAAACAATCCCTTCTCCCGAATCGCCAATTCCTCCGTTTCTTTCGCCAATTGGATTAGTTTTTCGCTTGCTTCTTGTAACGACATCGACCCGTTTATCCTGTTGCCATTGTCCAACATCTGTCGCCAACATTTTACAGCATTAGTTAACGATACCTCCAGTGCACTACAACAAGATCGACTTTATACAACCCCGGTTTTTAGTCACCTCCCAACTTTTTCTCTCAAAATAACAAAGAAACCGCAAGTCAATACTACACGACTCTTTTCCTTCGCGGTTTCTGACATTTTCTGACGCACCACAACTTGCCGCACCGCAAGGACATGTGACAATGCACAAAAAGCAAGCAAAAACCGTATCTTTATACGACATTATTAGAAAGTGTCGTTAAAAAGAGTTAGCAAGACATTTGTGTTATAAAAAAACTTGTTACGACTTACAAAAACGTTCTATCAAGTCAACGTGTCGAATTTGGTTTACCTTTACGAAGGCGTTCTTCAAAGAAGATCGAATATAAAGATCAACCCTGTTCCCTGTGTGATCTGAAGCTTCTTCAGATCTATCAATGGCGACCCTTTTATAAGCAGGTACGTCTTCTTCCAAGATCTTGGTGGCAGAGAAAACCATGGGAAGAATGTTCTCCATTAACCCAACCGTTCCTTTGTTGAAGCTTTCATGGTAATCAAGCAACTGTTTCTCCGACCATGTCTTCATCGAGTTCAACACCGCCGCTAACATCTCCATGTAAACGGGCTGCCGGTCGGCTTTCTTTGCGTCATTAGCGACCTCCGCCAGCATCGTTAACGAAGCGCTAAGCAGATCGTTCTCGATTTGTCCGGTCATAACGTATTGTTCGAAAAGAACCCAAGTGAAACACAGATTGTGGATCGGTCTCGTGATCCCTAAAGTCGACCATGTCTTCTTCATGAGTTCGAGAAGCTCGTCGACTTCATCAAGAACGCAGGTTTCGTCTTTCGGGTCGAAAATGGAGCGAAGAAGGGCGACGTAGAGATGGACGTTAAACGGGTAGCCATCAGCCCAGTGGCAGACGTCCGTGGGGGATCCATTTGCAGTTCTCCAAGATAACGAAACGACACAGTTGCAGATGGCTCTCATGGTTTCCGAGCTTTTGTTGGTGTCGATAGGTTTGGTATCCCCGCGGTGAATGATTTCTCTGAGTCGAACTGCGAAATTGTTGGATTTGTCCAATGGGATCGAAGGGTGATCGAGGAGTCCGGCTTCGAGGATCTTGAGTTGACGTTTTTGCCAAATGTGGTACTCGTTTGAGCTGCTAAATTCCGACGGCTTTAGCTGCCGGAGGAGCTCTAACGGTAGAATTATCGTATCCGGACGGCGACCCGTCTGGCCGACAAGGGTTCTCATGATAGTTTTACGGAGACGGTTGTCGCTTCCCTCCGACACCTTCATTTGCTGCCGCATAATCTCCGCCGACGTCATCGGGCGTCGTATCTTGCCGTGTGTCGGTAGAGTCGAAAACGACGCCCGTGGACTGATACCGTTAGAACCGTTATTATGATTATTAGAAAACCCGGTCGGAGAGAAAGGATTTGACCCACACGAGCTGCTCCGCCGTGTAGACGGAGTTCGTTTCAGCATTTTCAACCCGAGCGCCTTCTTTGTCCGGCTCGTCACCGCCATCCCCACCCCACCATGGCGGGGGGATCCCGGTGACCCCGGCGTCCCATGTTCTCGACCTTCAGACTGATAAAAGGTAACGGCGGTACGAGCTCCGAAGCCCGGCGACGAGCGACAGGCGGTGAAGAATATCTCGTACGCCGTCATGCGGAGGTCATCGCGGTCGAGACCATCGATCTTTCCGAATGGGAAAGAGAGATCGGCGGCGATGTCGAGAGTGGCGGGGTGGGGGGCGGCCGGAGGGGATGGGACATGGATGTGATTGGTGGGGTCTTGGAAGTATTCACGGTGGTTTAAATGCACCATGGTGGCGGGGCGAAGAAGGGGGCCGGCAGCGGTGCAGGGTGTCAGATTCCGTCGAAGGGAGGGATGAGTTTCGACGGAAGAGACAAAGGAGAGTAGTTGAAGATCCCTCCGCCATTAATAAAAAACTCAAGAACCAGAAACGAAAACAGGATGATGGAGAGAAAGATGCAACAACGTCCACTGTCAAGCGACAAATACGAGGATGCAATACCATTGTTTACTTTTAGTCCTTTAAGATTTGGCTTTTTGCATTTTTGGCACAGATATTTGATTTTATCTCATTTTGGTCCCTAAAAGGGCATTTCCCGACAACAAAGACTTCAAACGAGAACACCCCTATTTTACGAGAACGTCAGAACATTTTTAGGCTTCCAAATTAATTAACACATAATAAAAATTAGAATAAATGAAAATAAATTAATATTTATCCATAATTTTCTTTTATCTTAGATTTATCCTTATCTCTTAGATGTTGATGTGTCTCTTGACATTAATGACGTGATAATGATCCAATTTTGCTTTGGTAATAATATGATAATGTTTTAATAAATTGAATATTTTTTATGACGTGATTTTGCTGTGATAATCGTCTTTTATTGTGATAACGTTATGATAATGTTGTGATAATCGAAAACCAATGATAATCACGGCTACAATCTTCGTTCTTCCTGTTCACTATGTAATTTTGTTGTGATGATATTCTGATAATGATTTGGTATCAACGAGTAAATTATTTGTACTTGATTTTGGGGAAAGATTTCACCTAAATTACAGATAAATACGAAATCACATGATTATCTTTAATTAATTACTTTAATTTCTCTTAACTTTAGTTATTGGTTAATAATTTTTTGGAAGCCTATAAATGTTCTCGCATCATCATAAAACGAAGGTGTTCTTGTTTGAACCTGCATGTGATGCAATTTACTTATCAACAACTTTTTAGTTACTAAATATGTTGCTAGTTTTTGGGTTTAAGTATTGACTTTACCTGATCAGTTAAGGAACCGATCAGAGGAAATAGTAAATTGTGTCGGAAACCTAGTAAGAAGCAAATAACACCAAGTCAACAGTCTTCCGTATCTAATAAATTTCTTCCAAAACCATATATAAGTCCGTCTTATAAGGTAACATAGGAAGAAATACGAAAAATATAAGAGAATGTTGTTTTACGTTGGGTTCCGGTAAGAATGAAAGTTATTATGTGAATAATAAGAAGCGATCTTCACTCTTGAATCAATCCTAATTGAAGAGAAACACTAGATCAATACTAATGAGACACATCAAATCAATACCCTTTTAAAACACAATTCATGGGTCGATTTGAGATTAAAAGTGAAGGTGATGATTCTTACCCAGTAAACGCTTACCGGGCTATAAACACTTACTATCAATCCATTTTGATGGCTGGAAATGTTACCCCATAAGATAAATGCAAGCGGTGACTCTCACCAGTAAGCACTTATCCGATAAGTATTTGGTAAACGGTCCCTAAAAGGAATCGAAAATTAAAACCATAACCCAAAACATCTGGGAATGCAAGAATCAACCTTCATGCCACATTCAAATACCAAGTCGATGAGAATAATTTTGCTCAATTCATCAAATATAGTGACAATTGAGTTCGTAATTCGATCAAGAATCTTTAATTCGGTACAACGTCAAGAAGATTAGCCGCCAAACGGTATATATATGTATCTATCCAGCCACGAAAGCCGGGTGTGTGTAAAGTCTACATTATGTTACACAGGCAAGAATCCGAATCCTCGTCTTCAGAATCACTACCGTCACTGCACTCCCAAGAACCGATAACCAAAGAACACAAGATTAGCATCAAGAAACAAAGCCCATGTCTTTTTTACAAGATTCGAAAAAAAAAGAGCACAAGTCATCAATCTTAACAAAGCAAGAAACGACAACCCAACAAGATTATAACTGTTGTAGTCCCACATCAACTAGAATCAGATCCTTAATTCTCAGTATATGTTGGAACCTCACTTCTCTCCTCAATAACTGTTGTCTTTTTTGAAAATTAATCTAAAGGGGTTACCCGTATTCTCACAATAACATTGGCATCACCGTGAGCGCAACTAGTCACAATGAAAGTCCAAAGAAACCCGAGGTTCAGGCAGCAAGATGAGGGCAATCATATTCTTGCTACGGAGGGTAAGGGGTTGTTTACCAACAAAAATTGGGACAACGTTAACTGGGTAAGAATATAGTCTAGGTAAGCACTTATCATTGACCATGTAAGGGTCTGTTTATTAGTAGCTTGATGAGCTTGATGAGACTCACAGCTTATTCGGTCAGTTATACATGACTCTTTGGTGGTAGCTTATTAAGTAAGCTTCTAGGAGACAGCTTATACAGAAAACCAAGTTTTTTTCAAAACTGCTCCTTCCAATTAAAATAGTGTTCATTCCATCTATGAAAAAACCCTCTCAATCAAAAGCCCTCTCACAATCGATACCGACAGATTAATCCACACAGACAGCTTTATCCATAAAGAATCTAATGAAAAACCCCTTAGCTTACAAGGTCAACATAAAGGCAACTCAAAAACTATAACACATCATCAAGAACATATCCAGGCTCAAGAAGATCTGAATTTGAAATCTAACCAAATCCAAGAGATGCATTTACCATCATTTAAATCCCAATTGCATCATCTTCTTAACATGGAAATGAATTCATGAACAGAAATGATATCGAAAGTAATGAATACGATTTGAATTTACCTCGGTTGATATTCCAGAACTTCGGTAAGTTTGTGTCCATTTCGATCATTCCACTGCACTCTTCGATGCTTCTTCCCTGATTTCTTTCGTAACCCGCCTTTCTTGGGCAACAACAGTTTCTTCGATTCATTGTCTTCATCTTCTTCTATTCTCCCCCCAGTTACTACACCTGTTTCTTGATTCCCATTCACCACAAGCTTCGAATCCACCCCGATTTTATCCATTTATTCACACATAAACTAAACTGAATGAATGAATGAATGAATGCCGGATTTCTGACTAATAAGTCACAAACCATCAACAACTCCTTCAAACCCACTTGCCCAAATCAAGAATTCAGGATTTCAACCCTGAAAAACTTGAGTTTGTTTCAAGATTGATGAATTATGATCGATCAGTCTTGATTACTTTCGAAAGGTCAACCCCAATTTGATATAAAGAATACAAGAAAGCATTAGAGAAAACCTGAATTGCTTCGAATCAGATTGTACCCAAAACGTCAATATCAAGAAAGCCTAATAACTATGAACAGAAGCACCAACTTTTGACAATTTCATTCAAACCCAGAAAAAAAACGAAGCATGGAAGACAGAGAATCGAGGATTCATATGTGAATAAAGGAAAAAAGATTCAATAAATGGGGTTCTTCTGAAAGTGGGTTAGTGAGAATTTGCAGAAACCCTAGAGATCAGAGGGAAGGATTTGGGGGAGAGAGTGTATGGAGAAGGACGTTTACTTTGATCTCTCTCCTAAAGTCTATTACCGTAGGAAATTAAAAATGGAAATTTTATTATAAAAAAGAAATCTTGAAAACAAAATGGAAATATGGAGGTGGGTCCAGATGATGAGTATTCAATGGCTGAGATTTGATTTAGTAAAAGCAAGAAGGTTTCATGTCGTTAATCTCGTTATCATCGGATGGCCCGCCATGGGTTGGTTAGGTTCGTGGGACCTTCAATTGGTCGCAAACGCCTCGAGCCGGTTTATTATAAAGTATATTAAAAGCTCGAGATTGAATCCAAAATCTGAGTGTTTTATTTGATTATTTGGGTCGATTTTGATATTTCGTATCTTATAGTTTGTCAAGTTTAAGCGTAAAGAGTTCATCCGAGCTTAGGGACTGTTTGGCAGTTGACGAATGATTTGGTGCAGAATGATTAAATGATCAGAATGATTAAAAGGTATAGTAAAAACTGAAATATAATTGTTTGGTAAATGTTTACAATGAAATTAGAGCGCTTAATGGTTAAGGGAGACCCATGATTTAGAGGATTTTAAAACCATTAAGAGGCAGACATTTTTTGTTAAACAAGATCCACCTCTTAATGATTTAGAGGCTGTCTCTTAATGAAATTATTAGAAGGTGAACAAACAACCCCTCCAACTAGAGGTCCACTTGCTCGACTTCAATACAACAAAGATTTTAAATATATATATAGAGAGAGAGTTTGTTTCAAATGCAACCCATCACATTTGTACAACCGATACAACCCAATAAATTGAAATATTTATGAAAATGATGAGAGTTCATTTATTATGATTTAAATATTTATGAAAAATAAATAAAGTTCATTAACTATGATCAAAATTTTATCTTAGGAAACAATCAAAATTTCTATGAAATTACATATTCATCAAATTAAATGGACGATTGAGATTGAGTTGTATTGGTTGTACAAATGTAAGAGTTTGTATAATAACCCACCCTCTCTCTCTCTCTCTCTCTATATATATATATATATATATATACATATATATAGATATAGGTGGAGGTTCAAACGAGAACCTCTGTGATTTACGAAAATACGAGAACAACCTAATAACCTCAAATTTTTTTAATTAATAAATTAACTTATATAATATATAAATAATTTAATAAGGACAGTAATGTAATTAAGTAATTTTTATAATTTTTATTTTATTTCAATTTCATAACTATCCCTTTTGTTGACCACGTCTCCACGTTTTCCTCTGGTTAGTTTTCTTATCTAACCTTCTTCTCCAAATCGTTCGTGATAATCGACTTTCTTAATACCTTTTCTTCATATCGTTAGTATCCATATTTTTGTCGATATAGAATGGACGACTTGAAACCCATATCACATGATTATCACACCATATCACACAAAATCGTTTTCGTTGTGATAAATGTGTGATTGTCTAATCCTAACCTATCGAAACCATCCGAAATCGTTGTAATAATGTCTAACCTAACCTATTGAAACCATGATCAAGTCGAGTGATATTGATATCACATGATTATCACACCATGATTATCACACCCATATCACACAAAATCGTTTTTGTTGTGATAAATGTGTGATTATCTAATCCTAACCTATCGAAACCATCCGAAAATCGTTGTGATAATGTCTAACCTAACCCATTGAAACCATAATCAAGTCGAGTGATATTGATATCACATGATTATCACACTCATATCACATTGATATCACATGATTATCACATTCATATCACACAAAATCGTTTAATTGATTTCGTCAGTAATTCATTGTGATAAATGTGTGATAAACTAATTAGATAAGACGTTATGACTTCTTTGTTGGTCTCCTTGAATTCTTAACCGATATATTAGATAAGGATAATCAATATTAATCATGTGATCRTGTTAAAAGATTTTATGATATCATTTCCATTATTACCCTTTTAATTTTAATTTTTTTGAATCTTTTTAAATTTCAATTTTAATTTTAAAAATCTTTTAATTTTATTTTTTTATTACAATATGAGGTTAATAGGTTGTTCTCGCATTCTCGTAAATCATAGGGGTTCTCGTTTGAACCCTTCCCTATATATATATATATATATGTTGGTTATTATACAACCCTTAACATTTGTGCAACCAATACAACTCAATCTCAACCGTCCATTTCATTTGATGAATATGTAATTTATAGAAGTTTTGATTATTTCCTAATATAAAGTATTAATTATAATTAATGAACCGTAATCATCTTCCATAAATATTTAATTCATAATAAATGAACTTTCATCATTTCCATAAATATTTCAATTTTTTGGGTTGCATTGGTTGTACAAATGCGATATGTTGTATTTGAAACAAACTATATATATATATATATATATATATATATATATATATATACCACAAGGGTGGTGTCTGATTGGTTTGAATTTAGCTCCAAAGTTCAAAAGTGTCAGGAGGCCCCAAGTTCAAATCCAATGAGGAAAAAAAATCCCCTTGTGGGCACGGAGGTTTAAATGCAGTGAGTCCGGGCTATATACAAAGCATGTGGTCGCCCTAAAATTAGTCGGGTCACATAGCGGGTTAAATATCCACATTAATAATATATATATATATATATATATATATATATATATATATATA